CAGACAAGACAAGAAGCTGGAGGGACGGCGGTGGGCGGGCGGAGAGGCCGATGGCCACCAGAGGGAGAGGTGCAGGGCTGGGGGCACAGAGCCTCAGCCCTCCCGGAGCCAGGCAGGCGTCCCTGGGTGTTTAGGCAGCAGCACCCAGAAGCCGAGTGGGCCGAGTGGTGGGGTGCACAGAACTCGCTTGCTCTCCAACTTTGCGGAGCTGGGTGTGACCAGCTGGAGCCCAGGAGGCCCACGGAGGGCTTGGAGTCTGGACAAGAGGAGAGGAGAACCTGGAGGAATCTCAATGGACGGGGGAAGGTACACCCCAGGAACACGGCTGCAGGCTGGGGTCTGGGGTCTGGGGCAGGGCGGTCAAGGAGGCACTGGAGGTGGGTGGACAGTGAGAAATCCGACGCCAAGACTCCTGCTCTGTATGGGCCCCTCGCCCCACACCTGAGGCCTCAGGGAGTGCGGGACCAGGGGGCCAGCGGGGCAAGAAGGGGGCAGAGCCACCCCACGCCACCCGTTTCAGGGAAGTTGTTCCCACAGCACGTTCTCCACTTGATCCCAAACAGAAACACTCACGCTGGGAGAGCCTTTACTCTTTCCCTTCTGTGAGCAGAAATTTAAGTCCAACTTCTACTTTTTTTTTTATTTATAAAGAAACTAAACCAGATATTTTTTCTTCTTTATTGCAAGCAGATTCAAGTCCCCTCCTTAGATAATCTGCAGAAAAGTCCAATATAATATTATCAAGTCATATTTTATCTACATAAATAAGAGTTAAAAACAGCATACAAAATAAACTTTACAGAAATGTAAGATTTGGTTTAACTCACAATTTAATTTTTCAAAGCAGGTTAATGAATTATCATCAATTAAACATTTCGTTTGGAGGCTGATTTATGATTTTAAACGTACCTACGATATTCAATAACTTAAAAATAAATTCCAGTATTTATGATGACAATGACTATAGATACCGTTCATGTTAAATATACTTTTGAAGATTCTCCTTTATTACATCACATAATGAATGGACATTTTAAACAACAATGCAGACACACATTATAATTTTAGGTCAGAGGTAATATACATGTATTAAAATTCTGTGTATTTCGATAAGGTAAAAAATAAAGCTATATAAACTGATCTTCAGATTTTTTTTCTGCAAAAGTAGAATCACACTTTAATAATACTTCCAACGCATCTTCATTAAAGCTTTGTTTATAGACAATATCAGAATGATTCTCTTCCCCATTCACCTACCCTCTAGCTTAAAAAAAAAACAAAAGCATTTGCCAACTGACATTTTTCCTGTTTTTAAAGTTACAAATGGGAAACTTCCAAAAGAAATTGGAACGCAAGAAACTGCATAACAAGCTGTTATTCTGAGTTGTCAAATAAATCATATTTTAAGATAAAGTAGAAGTGGTTGCATTAGGTTATTACTAGTCAGGGCAAAACAGATGAACTTAGTGGTTTTAAAGAAAAACGCCGGAAAACTCCCTTTTGGATGCACCGGACATCTGGCTGACACCCAACAAGTCAAGAACAGTTGTAACAGCGTACATACGACACTTTGTACTTGAAGCTGCAAAACCTCTCCAGGCTGAACTGCGACTCTGTGAACCCGCCCTGCAGACGCAGGTCCTTCCTGGCCTGCTCCCTCGCGCGGGCACCGCCACTGCCAGGGTCGTGCGAGGCCAGGCCCCCCGTGTTCATCGGGTCTGCATTCACCCCATCGGGTCAAATGCACAGAAGCGGGTGGATGTGGGTTCTAAAAGGAGTCACCGAGAGCAGGACGCCTTCTCCTGGCTGCCTCGGGCGGAGGGCCAGCCCTGCTCCTGGACGCATTCGGAGCCGATGCTGCAGCTGGGAGGGGCCCGATGCTGCTCTGGGCCACCTGTCCTGAGAGCGGGGCTCTGGAGAGGTGTCAGTGAGAGGCTGGACTTGCTGAAGAGGAGGAGGTCAGGCCAGGGCACTGTGGCCTCGTTCACTCAACAGCTCCACCGCGAACGCGGGGGCTGCTTGCAAAGCCTCTGGCTCCTGCCAGGGTGCACCGTGGAGGTCCAAGGGGCCTGATCTTCCGGACACTCCTCCAAGGGTCCCCTTAGGAAGGAGGTGGGGATGCTCGGGGCCTAGGGGACAGGCGTGGGTGTGCACTCGTGTGTGTGCATGTGTGCGAGCTGACACCATGCCCTAGTGTGGCCGTGAGTGCCACGGAGCTGAAAGCAGGAGAATTCGACGTGGTCGGGACCACTGGTGCCTCACAGACGACCCGCTGCTGAGGCACAGAGCACGGGGCAGGAACCCGATATTCGGACCAACGTGGGAAAGCATGAGCTAATAATTTATTAACGTGTGCAGTCACGGAGAAGATTTTCAACACTAAGAAAAAGGCTTCAAGTTGACATTCCTTGCTTTAAGTTTAGTTAAGACAATACTACTGTGAGGTGAAAGGTCGCATTAGGTCACATCTGAAACATCATTTCAGGGGGCTCTTCTCTTCTTTTATTTTTTATCTCATGCCCCGTGTTTATTTCAAATTATCAGGCACAGTCACTTAATAATTTCCCACACACTTTTTTAAAAGACATTTTGGAGCGTGGAAGGGTTATGTGACTTTCATAAGGGGACTGAATTATCAGAGGTAAACAGTCGCCGTCTCAAACAGGCGGAAAGAGGACACTGAACCGTCAAGCAAGAAGCTTCTATTTTAAGGCTGAAGGATGGAAATTAAAAACAAAACAAAAAGCAGACAAAATCGCAATGAACGGTGAAGAATGCGCTAGCAGATTATCGTGCTCTAAATATGCCTTGCAACTAATGGCTGCCCCAGAAACACCTAAATGAACAGGTGCAGAGAATAAAATCAGATCTGAAAGTTCACATTCATCAGCTATTGAGACATTCAGCCAAAATTCTCACCAAAATTTAAATATAAAGTGGCCAAAAATTTCATCAACTTAAAAAATAAAAGCTTTAAAAACATACTTTAAAAATTAGATATGGTGTGTTAACAAATAAACGAATAAAAGAGATATAAACAGCTATGAAAATACTTCAGTGCAAAGGCAATTTTAAGATTTCTAAAAAAATACGTTACAAAGAATCTGTTAACTAAAGATACAGAGAACCGCCCCTCCAGGGTCACATTCATACCCAGAGCAGGTTCTTAAAAACGGAGGTAAAAATGCACTCGCCCTCGCCATTGTTTGCAGGGACGGCCCAGGGCGGCCACCACACAGAAGGTGGGATGTGAGACAGGAGGGTAGGGCGGGGACGGACGGGCGGAGAGGACCCTCAGGACGGACTGGCTGCCTCCCAGTCTCCGTCTCATGCGCAGCCAAGCGTCCCTTCCCCTGCCCTTGGGTATGGTGTCTTTACTTCACCTTAATTATCCCAACCACTCGTGCTCACTGTTCTTGCTGTCAGTTCATCCCCTAGTTCGAATAAACATTTTGTAGGGGAAACACCGTACAACCAAATTGTGAAACCTGAACTTCCAAAAACACCTCACGCAAAGCACCTGGGAAGCAGACTGGGTGCGCACTTACCCACATGCCCGGATTCCACGCACGGACTCGAGCAGTGGGCACGTGCCTGCTGCTCCTTCAGCTTCTGGGCGATGCTTTTCTAGAAAGGCATCGGTTTCAAGGTGTGAAGTGGACTCTCAAAATGAAATGTCTTCTTTACGGACCGTTAAGGCTATGTCAGATGGGTGACTTCTACAGAAATACTGGTACAGGAGAGTGACAAGAGCGTAGGACACGGCAGCCTCCTGATGGCTTACCCACCAACGGAGAGCATGGACAGCAGGGGAGACAAAGCAGACCCCACAGAGAGCTCAGGGCTGCTCGGAGCACGAGCGTGGGCGTGAGCGGCAGCCTTGGACAGCACTATTGCTTTATGGACCTCCCAGGCCTTTGTGTCGTCTGGCCCGCATGGGCCTGAAATCGACTCTGGAGGACGAACACCACCTCTAGGGGCCAGTGCTCGATGAGGACCCTGAAAGGGGGTCTGACTGTCACAGCCAGATGTCCGCCCTGGGCACCCCACCACCCTGCCCCTAAAACCCGTGAAATCATCATTTCCCCACAAGAGTAAAGGGTAAGCTCCATCCTTGGGAGCGTGTGACGAACACCTGTCCTGGGAGCTTCCGTGCCTGTGAACTCACTCCTCACACGCCAACACTCTTTTTACTCCACAGAGGCGACAGGGGACGGGGAAGGAGACTTGGGAACATCCAATAACACCCCAAAACATGCAGGCGATGCGTCCTCGGAGATACGTGCTCAGGCAGACACTACCCCAGAGCTCAGCCTCGCTCCGAGCAGGGCTCTGGGCAGAAGCAGCAGCGAGTCTGCAACACGAACGGGAATGGGGGCACGAGGGTGACGGCTGGTCCTGCCGGCTCCAGAAGCAGAAGCGTCAGAGGAGGGAGGAGCGCAGAGGCAGGGCCGGCCTGTCCGACGAGAGGGTGGGCCACGTCCGTGCTCCGACAACTGTCAGTGGTGTGACTGCCTCCCGCTCGCAGCCGGCCGCAGACGTCCTCCAGTGATGGCCGTGGCCGGAGACGATGGAGGGTGCGGACACCAGACCCTGACACAGGGCGAAGGGAACCGCCGTGCGGTGCGATGTACCAGGCCTCCACACGTCCTTTGTCGCAGCCCAACTAGATGCACGAGGGAAAACAGGCAAGACCACCGGCCTGCAAGGAACGATGAGCTGGTGCCGGTCCAACTGAGAGCCTACGCCCTCCACACAGGTCCTGTTGCCCCCTCGTCCCTCCCTGGGGGAGAGGAGAGCACACACATGCACAGCACACGCTCACGTGTGGTTCTTAAAGGCTTGAACTGGTGATCCGTCTGTCAGCCGTCCCCGCTCAGGGGCCCCCCCGAAGCAGGGTCTCCAGCTGGGATGGCGACGGCTATGGGAGAGCCGAGCGCCATGAACGGGGGCCTCGTGCTCCTTGCTCTCCCAGCACAATGACGTCACCTGTTCAGAGTGGGAGCCCGGCCAGGCGGCCGAGGGGTGGAGGCTCTGCAGAGAGGCAAGAGGGGTGAGTTCTGGGAGGTGGTCCTGCCACCGCACACACGTGTTCTGTTGGAGAACAGAAAAGACAGAGTCAGTCCCAGGACCCTCTACGAGAATCCCCTCTAACACGGATCTGCCTCAGCCACGGCCATTGCTGCCTTGGGAACTCCGGACCTGGCTCCCAGGTCATGGACTCCCAGAGAAGCACCCACCCCTTCTGAACCGTGACACAGGGGCGGCGTGTTGACCACGTTGTGGCTGCAAACTTCTCCCTCTTTGATACTGAGGGAGCGACGATCCCTCGTCGGGGTAAAGACGATGCAGGTAAATATGCACAGCTTCCTTCTCAGAGGCCCCAGGGACTAAGTTTGATTCCTTTAACGTAAGAGTGCTAAACTGCCCCCAGAGACAGAGGACACGTCCTCTCAACCGGCTGGCTCTCGGTCTCCAGCCTATGGTTCTCTCTGCCCGCAGACGAATGCCGTCTGTGCGGTTTCTTATTAACAGCCCAAGAGGCCAGTGACACATCCTAGACAGGGTTACTTTAACAGGCTGGGGGACTGCAGGGAAGCCGTACAGAGAAACCTCTCTAAAGGAACAGCCATGCCAGAGAGTGCCTCTTTGGGAGAGATGGTGGGTGTGTGTGTCAGGCCTGGGTCCAGCTCGGGCACGCTGTGAACACAGTTGCATCTCCCGCTGTGTTTTCCAGGCAGACTCGGCTGCACGTTCCAGCTGAGGGACAACCATGGAGCCGCACCAGACACCTGCCCAGCCAGCGCTCAGTGCAAACCAGGCGATATTCCACTTCTTATGTCAAAACACTGTCTTGCCTGATAGACCTTTTAGGTGAAGCTGTTTCCACCTCCAAGGATGAGGAATGAGCTTTGTTCTGGCAAACTGCACACTGGACTGCTGAGTGAGCGACGGCACATGAGTGCGCATGGAACGTTTGCCCTGGCACATGGAGATATGGGCGGGATATGCACACACACGTGTGGGTGTGCATGTGTGCAATACACAACCATATGCCGTCCAGCCAGGCTCAGGCAGGTCACTTACCTGGGGCAGATAAACGTGCGTGTAAAAAACATTTCGTTTTATCATCATGAACCTTTGTTATCAAAATGACACAGCACAGCAAAACTTTGGAGGAAAAACAGACAGTCTGACAGGCTCACAGCACACCGAGAGGGACGCCTGCCGGGTGGCGCATGGACCCGTTACCTATCCTTGGGCTAATCTCGCCCCGGCCGCGGCAAGAGGTCCCTCAGGAGTGGCCTGATGGCGCTGGGCGCGGCCTCCACCGACGCTGCGAGTTTCACGCTCCTCTGCAAGGCGAGGAAAAGCACTGAGACGCTGCCTCCTCGGTCCCGGCAGACCAGCTGCACAGCCAGACGTGGGGCCAGTGGCCCTCCGTGAGCACGGTGCCTGCCCTGGCCTGGGCCACCCACGGGGTCCCCTGGCGTGGGAAGGGCCCTCGGTCTGTGGGTTTAACGTGGAAGGGTGCACAAGTCGGGATGGTGGGACCCCTGGCTCTGGGGGTCAGCACCTCCCAGGGCTCCCCCAGGGAAGAGATGGTCTTCACGGGGACAGCATGAGCGCAGGGGGGAGGGTGGGCCAGTGGGAGAGTGGGGCCCAGGGCCACCCCGACGAGCCCAGCACTGGCTGCAGCTGGAAGGGCCACCTGATGGGCCTGCTCCCCGGAGCACAGGAAGCGCTTCCAGAACCTGAGGCTAAACATCCTGCCACCCTCACCTGAAAGCTTCCAGAGAGCCACTGACCAGACAGCTGTGCTCCCCCAGAGAGCACCGAGGCCCCCGGGGAAGAAATGGGCTCCTGCCGTCCCCATGAACTCTGCTGTCCTCTGTGACCCTCTGTCCCTCTCCTCCTGTCCCTCTCTGCACCTGCCCATCCCTGTCCTCCTCTCCCTGTCCCTCTCTGTGAGCCTGCCCCTCGGCCCCGTCTCCAGTAGAGCAGAAGAGTGCTGGCCCCGAGACTAGAACCCTGAAGGTTCAGGTGTCACAGTGCTGCTGGCACGGGGGCCAGGCGTCTGAGCACTGAGACTTCTTACTCAAACTGCATTAGTTTCTCAGGAACAAGGAGAAGAGAATTTTAAGAGTCGAAGAACTACAGGGTTCGAATTGCACAATGTCGTCTGGTGGAAGGATGCACTAACCCAGTGATGGAGTTGCTGACTTTGTAGGGCAGAATTACATATAATTAAGTTATATGTAAAAATAAATACAGACAGATACAGATAGATCTATAAATATATATATATAAACTATATATACATATATATATATATATGAAACTTGGGGTCTGTGATGTTTTTCGTTTTAATAGACCAGATTGAAAGAAAAAAACCATCCATTTGAAGCACAATATATTCCACATAAGGACTAGTCAAATGTTTATTCCTCCAAAGTTTTGCAAAATCCAGGTGGTTTTATAGCAACACAAGTGTTCACCCGTGTGTGCCAGGAGCGTGCTGGCTTCAGGGACCCTGTGTGAAGGTGTGGGTGTGGCAACACCTGTGGGGTCACGCCGTGTGGCCGTGGGCACCACAGGGCACTCAGGGATGCCCTTCTCCGAGCAGCCTGAGTCTGGCTCCTGCAAAGGTTCAGAAGCTAATCAACCCTTAATAACCCACATCCACAGTTAAGTATTTATTTTTAGCCCAGAGCTGTGTGATTTAATCAATTTCACAAGCACCTCCTGTGACTTACTAACGTGTTCCTAATAATTTCATCCTAAATGTTTTCAAGTATGTAAACAGTGAGATGAAATTATGTAATTTATTCTAACAAATTCTGATGGCACCAGATTAGAAAAATCTCGATTGCCAATAATTACTTGAATTTAAAAAACGTGCCATCTTGTTAGTTAAAAGACAGTGTTTAAAATGTATAGAAGATGAACTGTGATTAAAAGGAAAAAAAGCCTTTTTCTTGCTTTAGGCATTTTCCTATTAAACAAGCTGTGCTGGTAAAACAGGAATCCCAAATAGACACTTTCAAAGGATCATTAATTTTGAGGCACAAAAATGCAGATTTAGGGACATGAACAAACAACTGGAAACAGAGAGAAAACTGCTCCGTCCCCAGAACCTCAGCTCTGGATGGACAGGCTCTGACCCTGGGCAGTGGCCCCAGAGAATGCTGGGAAAGTGGCTCTGTGTTGTTGAGAAAGGACCTCGGCAGCCACTGACAGCAAAGCAGGCTTTTTCTAAAAACAATCAGCTTAAAAAAAAAGTTAACAGGGAATTTGGTAAAACACGTGACCCTAAACATACCCCTCCCTGCTCTGTCCAGTCTGAGTGGCCACCCCAGCCTGGCCTTTTCTGTAGAGCTCTGCAGCCTCAGTGTCCCCCTGTGCAGATGAGCTCAGAGAGGGCAGTGCGGGGCCTCCGTGCCCATCCCCTTCGGGCTGCGGAGAAAAGGCAACGCTGAGGTAACTGTGGGACCAAGGAACAGCCACACCCTGCCTTCATGTGTGGGACCCCTTGCAGGTCAGCAGAGTCTAATGGCCGTGGCCACATGCCCTCCACGGCACCTGAGTGAAGATGCGCCACCCTGGCCCGTGGGACCTGCTACTTCCAATGGACGCTGGGAGAGAAACTGGGTTAATGGCATCGGGAGAAGACACGTGCATCTCAGGAGGCAGTTATCGTGTCTCCTGGTGCGGGGGGTGGTCACAACACCGACAAGAGACACACACCAGGGTGCTCGGTACCGAAAGTCGGCCCTCTGCGTCCTGAGACCAAATCCCAACCATGCCAAAAGACAGAAACGCATCACCTTGTCCGTCAGAAACTCAGACTGCTGGAAGTCTGAGAGAGCATAAAGATGGTGGACTGCTCGACAGAAAGGCACTGGTTCTTAGTCTGCCAGTCCAGAGGTCAGGAGGGGCCATGCACGTCAGAGAAGGTGGCAGTGGGTATTAGCAAAGAGGCCGCAGACAAAGGGAGCGAGGAAGGAAAGAGAAACAAGAAAAGGCGGTGAGTCTGGTTAAACGTCAACAACGCCCTACCGGTCAACGCTGTCCCTGTCGCACTACGCCACCCCGGGTGGCAGGCTAGGCCGCAGGCTGGACCCTAACGCATCCTCCTTGATAACAGGCCTGGCCTGGCAGAAATCCTTCTGGACTCTCCCCTCCTGGGGCATGTGGACTTCACCCCTGCTGTATCTCCCCCCTCTCTCATGGTCACCGTCTAAAGGCGGTAACTACGAAGCTGACAGTGAAACCGTCCACATGGACTTCCACCGAGCTCTGCGTGAGATCCTGTCAGCACTGCGGTTACAGATGTGGGGGGCATAAAGGAGGGGTCACTGGGCGCTGGGTTCCACCTTTTCAATGAGCACAAGAGTTCTCACCACCCAGGATTCCATGTGGTGGGGCAAAGGCCGTCACCACGCCCGCCCGCCCCAGTGGAGGGCTGCCTGTTTCCATCCCAAACTTGGGCCAGCGGCACTTGGAGACTGCGATCAGGGGGCCATCTGGGCCTTCCCGAGCGGGTCCAGACTGGTCCCAGGAGGTATGAGTCATCCTCCACTGCCTGAACCCCTCCCCGCCTCCAACCTCACGGGCACAACCCCCTGTGCACCACAGGCAGGAAGAGCCCTGGCTGCAGCTTCCGCCCTCTCACCAGGATGCTTCCTTCTCCTCAGCGAGGCTCTACACCTCCACGGGCAAATCTCAGGGTGATGGGATGGGGACATGCCTGCCCGAGGTCACAGGGGCGAGGGGATGGGGACGTGCCTCACTTGAGGTCACAGGGGCGAGGGTAAGGGGGATGTGCCTGCCCAAGGTCACAGGGGTGAGGGGACGGGGATGTGCTTCCCCGAGGTCACAGGAACAAGGGGATGGGGGACATGCCTGCCCGAGGTCACAGGGGCGAGGGGATGGGGACGTGCCTCACTGAGGTCACAGGGGTGAGGGGACGGGGACGTGCCTCACTTGAGGTCACAGGGGAGAGGGGACGGGGTCATGCCTCCCCGAGGTCACAGGGGAGAGGGGACTGGGATGTGCCTCCCCGAGGTCACAGGAGCAAGGAGATGGGGGACATGCCTGCCCGAGGTCACAGGGGCGAGGGAATAGGGACGTGACACCAGGTGTTCTACGCCAGGGTGGGCATTCTGCATATGTCACTTCTTTCCTGAATCCAGAATTCGGCTTGCTGGCCTCCATCTGGGAGTGTGGAACATAAGCAGCCTCCTAATCACCAGCATTTCTCGATATAAACGCTAAAGTTTTGAGCCAAATTCACCATCCCTAAAAATAGTGCAATTTTACCTTCAAAGTAATGATTAACTTAAAAAACCTTTTTAGATTTACACGAAATAATGTGTCTTTTGTATTGGCTTAATCTTTCTTAATCTTTTTCTTCTTCCAGCCGCCTAGCTGCGTAGGTCTAACCCTGGTCATCTTGACTTCACCTACACTAATGCTCAAAATCACCTACCATCATGGAAGTCGTTAGTAACACCTGGACCGAGCACATTTACACACCCAGGCCCTTCCCGCCACCCTTCATAAGGACGGCCCACTCCGACCCCGGGAGCGGCCAGGTACCTGGGCCCTCTCGGTGGCGCTGGGCCAGAGCTGCTGGCACAGCACCTTCTTGAGAACGTCGGGAAGGAGGCTGACGGTGATGAGCAGCACGATGGCCAGCCAGGCAGGGCCGCTGGACAGCATCTGTATGAACACGTAGTACATCCTTTGATAACTGAGGAACGGCCTGGAGCGTGGAGGGAAAGAAGCATGAGACGCTGGCAGGGCAGATCCTCAGAAGCACCAAAGTCCTGGCCTCCGCCTTCTCAGTGTGTAGAAGAGCCCGTTCCGAGGTAACCATATCAACAACGGGATGCATGACTCCCCATATGGGGTGTCATAGGGGAAAAGGACAGAATTCCATAAAGTCATCTCAGAGGGAAAGTGAGTTGCTGACATTCAGTTTCAGAATAGCAAAAGAGATTTAAAAAGATTAATATAGGTGGTATTTTTGTATCCCAGAATCACAACCTGATCAATGGCTATTAACATGGAGAAGATACACCTGGGTTCAGATCAGCAGTTCTAGTTAACCACCTAAAGCTTACGCCAAAAAATGTAAAATTTTTCTATAGAAATACAGAGCGTGAAATGACTTCTGTACTAGGCGAATCTATAAGTCAAAGAAAATACCTATACTGCTGAACGCAAGTTACACAGTTCCACGATTCCTAAACCACACGGCCCAGGAGCTGGTCAGATAAGTTTTCAGGACAAAACCTGCCTTTCACAGGGCCACAGCTTTGGGAAGTTCACTAGAACTTCAGGGCTCCTCAGGGGCAGGGTCGCAAACCCATGGAAAGCTCGACTGGTGTCGCTGTATTTCCAGGTCTCAAAGAACATGCAGTGCATGGCTTTGGCCACTAGAGGCCAGCAATGGACTGAGACGCTGGGTGGACATCAGCAAGCGCCAACAGGCAGTGACTGACCAGAGCGCTTCCTCTCCGTCCTAGGGCCGCCTGTGCGTTCCAGAAGCTGTGGTCAGTACTGGACGTGCAGCGCAGGGAGGGCACTGCTTCTGGCCTCATGTCCAGCCAGGCCCAGGGCGAGGCCGGCAGGCCCAGTCGAAGGAGGCACTCCCTCCCAGGTCACGCCCCCAGCCCCAGCCCTGCTTGGGAAATGCTCCGTCTTACAGGGAGATGCAAACAAAAACAGGAGAATGATCGACAAACACAGTACGTGTTGCGACAGGAGCAGGAACAGATGCTCAGGGCACGACGTGGAACTGCCCTGCCTGTGACATGGTTCAGGGGAGGCCTCAAAGAGAATGACGAGCCACCAGGTTTTGAAGGATGAGTAAGAGCTCACCAGAGAGGCTCGTTGGAAAGGACATCCTGGGCAGAAGGAACGTGCATTTAGCAGAAAGGAAGCCAAATGCGGCCACTTTCCTGCCCTCATAGGACGGGCTGCTTTACAGCAATTCTCTAACCCAGCTGTCCTGCTCGCTTTCCACCCACAAGTTCATTTTCAACATGGCAGCCACAGCGGTCTTTCTAAAAGAGCAGCAGACTCTGCCGCTCCTCTGTTCAAGATCCTCGATGGCCTCCTACCATCAGACTGGGGTCGAGGTCCCACAAGGCCGACAGGCCCGGTGTGGCCTGCCCCTACTGACCTCTCCAGCTGGACCCAGACCACTCCCTGGTCACGGTGGACTTCCTCCTGCCTCCCAGGGCCCTGCCTCAGGGCTCCTGCACTGCAGCTCCCCTCCTTAGGAGCACAGCTCTGTCTGGAGTTACACTGCCTCGGCCCGAGGCTGGCTTGACTGGCGTACCCGTTGTGTCTGCCTTACCACTCATGGTGTGTAGAGAATGCAGTGTGGGGAAGACTGAAGGAGACTCGACCCATCCCATACCGAGCTTGCACCTCATTCTAGGAAGGATTTAATAAGCATGACCTACTATTATGATGATGGTGATTTTTTCCCAGGCTGCTGCAGCAGAGCGCGTGAGCTTAACCACTACACCATAGGGCCGGCCCAAAATAATAACTTTTTCGAGAACCCTTCTCTGACCTTTGATCTGATATAGGTCCCTTGCTATAGCCTCCAGGTCTGTCCCCCCTCGTCACAAGCCAATTACTTCTTATCCAGCGTGTGTCCTCACCGAGAACATGGGAGCAAAGGAGCAGGGACAACACCCGCCTTGATCCCCCGAGGGCCCCGCAGGCCCTGGCACAATGCCTTGCACTCAGGAGTGAGGGTGTACGGAAAACGCGTTCCGAGCCATGATGGTACTGCAGGACTGGGAGGGCGACAATGACGACACGAGATTTACCAGGTCCGTACCAGACAACTCCTCCCCAGAGGAGCGAGAAGGCGACGTAGAACAGCAGGGACCCCCAGAGGACAAAGTGGTTCATCCACGTCCAGTAGTGTGTGTCTAACGCCAGCTGGAAGGAAGAAAACGGCGAAGAACAGTGCTGTTACTGGGGGGGTCAGTGTGAGCCCCACAGCCGGGAAAGAAAGCCAGAAAAGAATGAAAAAACAAACCACCACATCTTCTTTTAGCCAAGATGCCAACATGAAACTGTTTAGGAAAAACAAAACCTCAGACTTCCAGTGGAGAAAAAGCACATGTGATGTCACAGCCTCTCAACCACGACACTCTGAGCGGCTCTCACTCCGGGCCTCAGGAAACCTCCCAGGGACGCGCTTCTCTCACGGGGAGGCCTCGGGGCGACAGCTCAGGGTGCAGGCTATATTACCACTAAGGAGATGACTTCTGGATTTTCTATGTATCACTTTTTAACACTCAGGTTGATAGCTTTTGGGACTTTCATAAATGATATCCCATACAGAATTTGACTTGATTTTAATAAGAGCTGAATTTTCCCCAATACAACAATTGGTTTCAATTAAAGTGTCTTTTGATTATACTGGGGATGAGGATGCTTGCCATTTAAGAGAATTCTCATCTGACTCCTTTTATCAAGAAAAGGCTCATTCCTTCCTTTTCCTTTTGTGTAACTCTGGAAGTTCGCACACCGGATCGCCTGGGTGTGCTAAGTCTGCTCTTGACTCATTTGAATGGCAGGAAGATTGCCCCAGAGCAGAGCCGGGAGCTGGCACGGGCTGTGTGCTGGGTGTGGACTTGTAATTCAGTGTGGATTATAATTCAGTTCACAGACGGGAGACCCACACACGGCAGGGGCACCTGTGGCAGGAAGAAGAAACATCATCGAGAGAAGACTTACCTTCAGTGTGACTGTAAACACCATCACCGTGAACACCAGCGTCCCGAAGGTCCAGTTCCCAAATATCTGTGGGAAAGCAGTCCAAGGAGTCTCTTGTTAACACGTATTTCCCCCCTTTCACACTCAAAACAAGAGTGATAGAGAACACAACTCACTGCTCCTGCGGCCCACACCTCGAATCCCAAAGGGACAGGGGCCACGTCTGGTACATCCAGGGGTGCACTAGACCCCGAGGCTCCCAGCACCGTCTCCCGGGGCCGGGTCAGGGACTCAGTGGGGGCTCAGCGCCCGTCCTGCCCTGACTGTGCTGTTGCCCTGGGGGCCCCTCGGCCCTCAGCAAACGTCCGTCCGCACGTCATAAACTGAGGGCCAGGAGAGCACCTGCAGCAGGTGTGACTGCCCACACGCACGAGGCTGAGTGTTCTTCTGTTCGCACAGAGACATTAACCGATTACCAGCTCTACGCCTGCTGCACGTGCAAGAATAAACTCAGTAGAGTTTGCGTCCATGCTGTTTCAAATTCAACTTAAACACCTGCCTGCTCTGGAAGAAACACAACAGCTAGAACATTCCACTGGTGAGCAAAAGAGAAAAGAACCACGTCACGTATGGGACAGCATAAGAATGGTGACAACATAAGAGGAAAACCACAAGAAAGGAAGAAATGAAGACAGATGAAACAGAGGGACGTGAAGGCCCCAGCGGCCAGACCACAGACACGCCACAGTCCCACAGAAGAGGCCACAGCCAGGAGGGAAAAGCGGGCGAGCTCCAGGGTGCCCTGCTCCCTCTGAGGACTCGGCAGGATGCAGGGGGACGGCATGTGGGGGAAGCACATACGAGTGAGGTCATGAAACAACACACTTGCCAGCCACAAAGACAGCAGAGTGAACCCCTGTCCTGAAGGATCCTTCTCTCAGGGACAGTCAGTCCCCCGGAGACTTCATTCTACAAGAGTTACTGCCTCTGAGATCCACACCACCTGGGAACCCACCCGTCTCTGGTTTGTCGGATTCTGTGAACTACGCCTCTCAGAAAATATTCCTCGCGCTTCTTTAAAAGAAAACACAGCTTTATTTCACAAAGAATTAAAAAGCCCCAGTCCAGTAACATGCTGGGCCTCAGCTGTAATTTCTGCAGGTGAACAGCAGACACGCACAATGACTGGAACCCAGAACCGGGAATTCTGGTTAGAACCCAGGCGACAATGCCACACCACTCTGCCTTCACCTGTGCCCCTTGGGAAGCTGTTTCCGGCTCACTGGCTCATGTGACATCTCTGAAAATGTCCTCTTAATTTTCTTATTTGTTTCAAGGGAGCCTGCGGGCGAAGTGGTAATAGTTCATGATTAAAATCTTTTGCTGTGATTTCTACGGATCATGGGAGGGGGCTGGGATGATCCACGAGGACACGAATCCCCTCTCTCAAAGGGACGTCTGGAGGGATGATGTCTGCCCTGAGTGACAGCAGTTCCCCACCCCCAGGAAGCCCGAGTCTGATTTCCTAACCTCACACTCTCTCTCCAACAAGAACTGAACTTGACAGCCTCACGCAGCGATTACGAGAACTCCGTGGCAGGCCTCTGGAGCCTCCATGCCCCCGATCCGAGCTGAATCCTCTCCCTCGCACTTCGTCCTCTCTCCTCTGAGGATGGCGCTCCTGTAGGAAATCTGCTCGTAAAAGCCCTAAAACCCAGACCCATTTAATTTTTAAGTGGAGAAAAATTCTCCACGGCAAATGTAACTTGTGTCTGCTCAAGATCACGGTCATAGAAACACCCACTACTCCCCCTCGGGGACGACTCCACCGTCTACTGAGCCTGCTGGAGAGCTTGGTTCCCGCCAGCCTGGCTGTTCGTGTTTCAGCTATCTCCACATCTCCTGACTCCTATCACAGCATGCTGCAGACCTCCACGTGTTCCCCTAGGAACATCCTGCTGTTCAACTGTAACCAAATAACTGTTGTCTTAATATTCTCATTTGTGGCGTCAAACTGAGAAACAATTACGGCTCATGACATCTGGGCAGAAAATGCTCCATTAGTGAATTTCTCTTTAAAAAGTCATCAATGATTCTACTGTTCCCTCAACACCACACATGACAGATAAACATTCCTATAGAATGACTGAGGTCTTTAAAAAAAAAGTGGTCCTCACCTGCTGACAACCAACAGAACGGGGCGTCTAAACTATACCACCAAGAATACAAAAGCATTCTTGTTTGGGAAGGATTCTATCAGAAGGTGACGACCAACATAATCACCAGACTGCCTGCTGCCCGAGAACCAAGCGCATCATCGGTTTACCTGATTTACCTGAGTTTTGCAGGTTTATGTGAATTACTACACACCCAGCCTATAAAGCTATTTTTAGTTTTGTAAGTGATCTAACACTCTTAACCCCAATACAAACGAGAATTTAAGAATTGACAATCCAGAATGAGAAAAGCTCGCCTGGAGACACCAAGGCACAGCATCACCTCAGCCTCCGGGGCTCCTGTCCTCCTAGCAACCCAGGACGCAAACATCCACCCTGGTTCCTCGAAGATCTGGGCTATTTATCCTCCTCGTGTTCTCACACCCCCGAGTCTTCAGTTTCTCCAACGTCTACAGCGAGTTAGTGAACTGCAGCAAAGGTCACCTCTCAAATGCATAACCATGGACAAGCCTCACAGGAAATACCTTATTTGGCACCAACTGCCCTGTGTGCTGTTCATAACATTGCCATGTGTCTCAGAAGCTCTTCACTGACAAGACGGATATTATGTGCGTTGAACCTTTGTCATGACAAGCCAGCGAGCACAGGAGGGCTCAAAGCTCTCAGCAATGAGCGGTAAGGCTCCCCCAGGCCTTTCTGAGCTGATGTGGTGCAGGCCAGCTTGTGTTTTCTCTATCTTGGTCTCTCTTCTGTCACTGTTTCAAATTCTAATGACCAGTTTTGTCCCATTCGGCTGAGCAAAGCATGCGATGGTGGTGGGGGACACAGAAGTGTCGCAGAAAAGCATCATCCTAGAAGTCAGTATTCAGTCGTGTGGTGGCTCAAGGCACCTCCAGGAAACAAGGAAGATGGAGATAGACCAGGAGCTGGTAGAAATCCTCAGATCATGTGAAGGCCTCAGAAACACACCACACCCACTGACCCAGCAGCACGGGGAGCAGCTGGACTGAAGGCTGGTTGGAGACGCTCGAGGGCTGCAGGGTCTGAGCAGGAGGAGGACACGCTGCTGAGCACTGTGCCGGAGGGCCTTACCGGGGGTCACCGGTCACCCGTTTCCAGGGCACACGGGCCACACGAGCCTCTTACGTGTCCTTTCCTACTTAAACCATCTTCCAATGGCACTTCTGGAGGAGTACCCACCGTCTCACAATGCAATCCTGAGACCAAAGCAAGTAAGCCGCAGCACGGAGTAAACCACATCCTAGAACGTCTGCCCTGAACATCTGGGTTTGGGTTCTGCCACCTCGCCTTGCCCGAGTCGTCTAATCTGTGTGAACTTCAGCCTCCTCGACTTCACCCCCATGAAAATGTCCAGCTACGGGGCGACTGCAGCAGGAGAGGTAATGTTTGTGTAAGGAAGCTGCGAGCACAGGGCCAGGCGGAAAGCTCGTGTAACCGTGTGGACACGCGGCCGCGTGCTGAGCTTGTCTCGGGACAGAGGCTCAGTCTGTTACAGATGCACGCAGGGGCCTACTTAGAGCCTGACTCGCAGGAAATCTTACAAGAGATACATAAGAATGACAGGATGGCTCTATTTAACTACATTTACGGCCTGGCAGCACCCAGGAATTACTCAATTAAAATAAACAAAGAATAAATTCTAGAAAAATGGAAAGTTTTTAGAGGAAATAAGATTTTTAAAACTTCTCAAGATCAACTTAGTGAAGACTGGTTTAAGTTATAATGAGATAACAGCCCCTTTCAGTAAGGGAAAAAAACAAACGAATGGATGGGTAAAGAAATTCCACAGGACACAGAGCAAGACTTTGTGTTTCAATCCAACAGTCTTAAGGGGTGAACAGAATGGGGACACGAGATGCGTTCCGTCAAACAGGAAATGAAACGAACGTCTGTCCGCAGGCTTCCCTTCTTCTACGTCCACAGTCGTGTGTGTCTGCCAGCCGGTTAAATACCGTGACGCTCAGGCAGGAGCAGTTCTGCCCCACGTTGCTCGCAGTTCCACCGGCAGCGAGGGTCTGCCAATCAATCAGAGCAACGTCCCCAGTGGGCCTTGCGGGCCTGCGTGTACCGCCTCTTAGGGAAAGGGAAGTTCAAACATATCAAGTCGATTTAAAACACATCACTGACTCAACCAGCAATCCCGACATAGAAATTCAGAGGAAACACCAAGTAGGAAGGATGGGATGGCACACACACGTCTCTGACACGACTGGTCCCACAGCGAGTGGGGCGGCAGCGGCTAACGGTGTTTTTACTGACACAGCACACAGAGGAGGGCACACGTGCAAATATTTCGAGAAATATTTTATCCATAACGCACTCCAACGCATACAGCACAAACCCACAACTGTCTTACCATGTGTGTGCTGGTGGTCATTATCTGAGATGGGAAGGGAAGCAAGTGGCAAAAAGAAAAAAGCAAGAGACAAATAAAACAACCCCCAGAAACGGTGCAAACAACCCGAGTGCTGCGCGTCTATCAGAAAACTATCCATCTATTCATCGAAAAGGAGACAGGTACCTAAGATAAGTACACGTGAAATAACACTAAAGTGTATTAAATTCAAAATCAATCCCCATATTAAACAAGCCACGCCTGAGCGATCTACTGAACCACTGGATAAACAGCCAACAATGAAACACAAGTTATAAAAATAAAGTCTGCAATGCGCGGGCGGGGCGTCTCCATGGTCAGCAGAGCGCTGGGGAGCTCGGCAGTGACTGACGCGGCGGGACTGTGGATAGAGGGACAGGTCTCCAGGCGTCAGGGGTCCCCGGGCTGGACGAGGGACTGCGCTGACCAACAATCGTATGGGATGCGAGGCTTACTCCCAAGTAGCCAGCACAAGGTCCAGTTCGTACTAACCTGTCCGTTGCTGGTCACCGTTGTATTCTCAAACATGAAGTAAGCACCAAAGAAAAACACCAGCGCGTCGAACACCCCTAAGAAGGTCCAGTAGACGAACACCCGCCAGCGGAGCAGAGCGTTCTTGGTGACATCCCTGTGAGAAGAGAGGGCGGGACATTGTGACCACATTCCACCAGCACAGCCTCGCTCGGCGCCCCTGCCGTCTCCACCGCTCTCTGCAGGGACTGTCCTCCTCCAGGAGGGGCCTCTAAGTCACTGGACAGTCCTGAGGCTGCAGAGCCTACACGGAGGGGGGACAGGAGGACGAAGGCCCTGACTGGTGGCCTCTGCAGTGGGGCCATCAGCAGGGCTTCTGCGGACACAAGCTCAGCCAAGCTACTAAAAGTGGGTCGTGGAGAAACCCGGCCCAGCGCACAGGATTCCTGGTCTCCTCACGTGGGGTCACCCCGTCCATGCAGAGTCTACCCACACCTCTGCCTGACCCCTACCTCCACCGGTCGTGGGGCTGGGCACACGCTCGGAACCCACAGCCTTCTGGGGATCCCAGGTGGGCTTCTCCTCCTCGTTTATACCACCACATGGGGCCCCAGGTCACACCACTTCATGCCCTCTGGCTGCCTCTCCACACGTTTGTCTCTTCACCCTATAGCACCCCTAGTTCCAGAAAGGCCTTGGGACAGCTCATAGTACAAAGCCATTACCACAGAAACAGAGCGTCAAACCATAATAAAAGGGAGCAAATATAAGGGGATGGCATACAACCGCCACGGCAATGACTCTGTGTGATAAATGGGAATGACCAGTGAATACATTTGAGCTCCCTGGCAGCAAAAGCAGAATGATTTTCAGCTTTAGCATTTTACTACACACGGAGGTTCATTTTTGTGTGTGTGCTGAGGAAGACTGGCCCTGGGCTAACATCCACGCCCATCTTCCTCTACTTTATATGGGAAGGCGCCACAGCATGGCTTGGTGAGTGGTGTGTAGATCTACGCCTGGGATCCGAACCCTTGAACCATGGGCCGCCGAATTGGAGTGGGTGAACTTAACCACTAAGACATGGGGCCGGCCCCTTACACACGGATGTTCTTGAACGATGTTTGCTTGGATATTTTCTCTCTCAAATTGGACCATGATATCACCATAGGCAGAGAGACACCACAGCTCACACTCTGCTTCTGAAAGTAACTGACACGGGACACAAGGCACAGGCTGGACTCACGGATGACAAGACTGCAGGCCTCAACTCTGCTGCACGTTCTGATGCGACTTCTCACACCTTTAGGTGCAACAAGCGACACCCTGCAGGAGGCCCTTCGGACGTGCGTCCACAACCGTGTGTACACGTCTATTCTCTTAGACTCGTTCTCGATCATTCAATGCATACGACAAACTCCGACTTTGCCCTTTTAATGCCCACAGTGATTATCCGGGGCTCCAACACCTCAGGATCCTACATAACGGCTGACTCTTCTCACGGAGGCTGTGAGGCTGGCAGGGAGTGTTTGACAGTGTGGGCACAGGAACCACACACACACACGTGCGCACACACGTGCACACCACCAAGTACCAGCCACACTGGGGAAACCTAGGGGGTCGGTGGTGATGTCAGTGTCAGAACCTGGTGGGGACCCTGTGCTGCGGGTCTGGAGGGTGCTCCATCAGATGTCACCACCAGGGGACGGGACAGAGGCTCACGGAACCTCTGCATTATTTTTACAACTACACGGGGATCTGAACTTATCTGAAAATAAGTTTAATTTAAAAAGAAACAAAAAACAGCAAGACACACAACCTGCCAGGGATCCTGGAGTGCAGTTCTAAAATAGCAGAAAGACATCTTTTGCTTATTATTAAAAATACTTCTTCTACGGGCCAGCCCAGTGGCATAGTGAAGTTCACATGCTTCACTTCAGCAGCCCAGGTTTTGCGGGTTTGGCTCCCGGGCGTGGACCTACGCACCGCTTGTCAAGCCATGCTGTGGTGGTGTCCCATATAAAGTAGAGGAAGATGGGCAGGGATGTTAGCCCAGGGCCAGTCTTCCTCAGCAGAAAGAGGGAGACTGGCAACAGCTGTTAGCTCAGGGCTGCTCTTCCTCACGAAAAAACCAAAAAAACAAAAAACTTGTTAGCAGAAAAGAGTACACTGAGATCAGATATGTTAACTTTTCTTTTTCCTCGCTGAATAGAACATATTTGGATCTTAAAGGATAATTTGGGCCTTAGATCCACTGCAGTCACAAGGGGACAGAAACTCTCATCCCCAGGTCTTTCATAACCATCAAACAGCTTGGGAAAATACAAACTGGTTTAATACGTACATTTCAAGTGTATCATAAATCCTCTATCTAATTTGAGGTATATTCACTTAAATCACATTGTTTCCTGCTTGGAGAATCTCCTGTAGAAGCCAGTGCATCAGCCCATACTGGAAGGTTCTGGTTTTTATTTATTTATTTATTTATTTATTTTTTAAAGATTTTATTTATTTATTTCACCCCCCCCCAAACCCCAGTAGATAGTTGTATGTCATAGCTGCACATCCTTCCAGTTGCTGTATGTGGGACGCGGCCCCAGCATGGCCGGAGAAGCGGTGCGTGCCAGGGATCCGAACCCGGGCCGCCAGCAGCGGAGCGCGTGCACCCAACCCCTAAGCCATGGGGCCGGCCCAAGGTTCTGGTTTTTAAATAATTCAACCAGGCGTTTATCGGAAAGGATCACCATGCGGCTCTAGCTACTCTCTGTGCTCAGCAGTGTTTCTGAGGCTAGTACCTGTAGAGGGAGGGGTCCCTCCTGAGTGTGTCGATGCCGACGTGCTGCTCCACCAGGCTGTACAGGAGGATGGGGAGGGAGGTGAAGCTGATGTTGTACAGGGTCAGGTAGGCCGTGTCATACAGGGTCTGCAGGGACAAAATCATGTGAAGATGACACTGTGCCTCCTGACACAGTTTTTATGCTTTGTTTAAATATACACATTTTCTAATTTGCAAAGACCTACAAAGACGAGCACTCTAAAATGCACACAGAGCCATCTTCCTACAGATACAGAAGGACCAGGACGTTTTCAAAGCTTCATGATGTCAGCCAGTCAAGATTAAAATAATGACAGAAGCCCACCTGTGACCCCCATTTGGCACCACAAACATGCAACAACAAAAAGCCTGCAATCAAGTTTGCAGTTTTGATCACTGTCTTCAAGATTCCATCTCCCCAGCCCCAGTGCTTCAGATGAAGCCTGTGGCCCACGGTCCGTCTCAGCAGGGACGGGAAAGCAGACGAGTGACGGGACGGGGCCCGAAGAGCCCGTCTCTCCTCTCCTGCCAGACGGCCTCCACTCGGCACACCGAATGTGCTGGACGCCGGCAGGGAGACACCAGGAGAGGGTCTCAGATTCAGCCCCAACCCTTCCAGTTAAGTCAGAAAGCCAACACAGCGTCCCGGGCCCGGGAGAGGCGAGTCCCGGCACAGCCCTCCCTGGGCCGTGTGGGAGCCTGCGGTGAGCAGATGCCGGCCCCTGCACGCCCATGCCTTCAACCACCTACGGACGGGCTTCCGGGGGCCAGTGAGGAGGGGGGGCGCTGCTCCCTTGCCTCCCCCTAGTCCCCCTGCTTGTCCCCGAAGTCCACCCTCCCCCCACCGCAGCCCCACACGGGAAGGGAGATAAGGCTCAGGCGAGCTCCTGACTCCAGACACTAGGACTCACCTGTTGTGAAAACCCACAGAAGAACTGGTATAAAAACTGAGGGAAGATGAAGCAGACATTCTGGAAGACAAGTTACATACCTGTTAGTTCAAGGGCATCTATCGCTTATCACAGAATCCCTGAGAGGCTAATTCGTGACACCACTTTATCTGGGCAGAGTGACCCAAAGACCCCCCCTCTATAGAAGAGCTGGCGTTGGCTTTAAAATTCTTCTGTCAATGGCACCTACAGGGTGTACGTGACTGCGTTGAGGTCACTGAGCACAGACAACGTGAAGGGAGATTTGTTAAAGAGAAGGAGGTATCAGCATAAACCGGACAATCAAACTGCATGATGAATAATGAATTATTTCAAGGAATTATAAAGAATGCCCCTTCCTCAATCGTTTTACAGCTGGTATCTTCTTCTTAAAAGGTTCCACGTGAAATTTTGTGAATGTGAGAAAAGTGCTACGGGGTTTCCCCTCACAGTGACAGGATTAACCCCTTCCTTTCTGACAGTGACTTCTATTTTCACAGAAATCGCCCCCGTAGCATGGAGGCATTCTGACAAATGTGTCATTCCACCATGTGTGTATGCCACTGCAACTGAGGGAGGAACCAGGACTCCCTCCTACCTTATAAAAGAAGTACTGCACAAGCTCGGATATCCTAACGTAATAAAGGTGCCCATGGACGAGCAGCATCTTCTTTAGATGCTTAAACTTCGGTATTGCATAGTCACTGTTCCTGGCAGCCTGACGACCTTCCTTTCCGACGACGCCTACGAGAAGGGAATAAATGCGCTCAGTAAACCCTCTCTCTACACCACGTGAAAACGGGAAGAACAAAATAAGGTCGGATTAGACCATTCCTGTGCAATTCCCCAGTGCGAACGCGCCACACCACGGACGGCATCCTAAACGTCTGTCTATTTTCTAGGACCTCGCCTCTGGCTGTGTCCCCTCCTGCCTGCCAGAAGTGATAAACCTCAGTTACCAGGATGTGCAGGGAGCCGGAAACGAAGGGGCTCACCTACGCCCACGTGGGCCTCCAGGATCATGCTCACGTCGTTTGCGCCATCGCCAATGGCTAAGGTAATAGGGTGCTCTTTCGAAAGTTTGATTAATTTAACAATCTGAAAAGAAACAAGAGCAGAATTTATCTTCTTTGTTTATTTTTGCTCAGTTATTCACTAACTAGGCAAAAACAACAGATGTAAAGTCAGTTCAAGAAAATGAGAAAAGTATTTGCCTAGAGTGAATTTACTACATTCCATCTATTTATCCATGTAGGATGAAGTCTTTTCATACTGAAACCAAAAAGTAAAGCAAAAGGAGCTGAGACCTCATGACCAGGAGATGAGCTGAGAAAGGCTGCAGGTAAACTCCACAGACAGACACAAAACTCACGCAGGGGTTTTCAGTTGCTGCTACACTCACATATCTACCCATACAGGGAAATATATTTAAATACATAGGGGAAAAATCTGCACTGCATTCTATCAGAGATTTTGCTATTCCAAGCTGTTTGGTATCAAGCATCCATTTTTAAAAATAAGCTGTTCTTCATGCTATTTTAATTTTCAAATTTGTCATGTGTGCAAAATCAAATCTGACAATTCAATGCAATGAATAATTTCCGAATTTTTAGTCCCTTTCTTTATGGTCTTTTTTTCCATCTATGTACCTAAGTGTGATGATTCAAGATATAGGACTGAAAAGATGAGGAAAAAAATGTGTGCAATGCCTTCTTGTTTCAAGATGAGAGACTGAAACACAAACTAATTTGTATAAAAGTTTGCAAAAGTCAGTTAAGAACCTAAAAAAAGTAGCGTGGAACACATGAAGATCAAACACAAAACCCTTAGTTGCCATTCTGGATGTCATTATATCAGGTTTACACAGAATCAAACACATGAGAGGGAGGGTAGGGAAGAAAACCATTTCTATCCCAAATGGAATGTGAATTAATTCTTGAGTCTTAGCGTGTCTTCACTGAGAATCACCCAGTGGAGATCCTGGTGTTGTCTCAGTGACGCTGTCACTACACAGATTAGTGTAGCACATGTGCAAGTCCGCTAGGATGACCCCTTTACAGGTGGTTTTCAGTGTTTCACCTTGACCACTGGTCAGTCTGAGAAGTTATGGAATCCTTTCATGAACAAGTCCAGAAAAACTGGTCCAACATATTTAAAATGTGGTTTAATGAAGCTGGAACTACTGTAGGTTTACTGACATCAGACAGACATGCATGTTCACATAGGTACTGCATACACTTAAAAAAATATTTAGGGCCAGCCCCGTGGCTTAGTGGTTAAGTGCATGCGCTCCGCTACTGGAGGCCCGGGTTCGGATCCCGGGTGCGCACCGACGCACCACTTCTCCGGCCATGCTGAGGCCGTGTCCCACATACAGCAACTAGAAGGATGTGCAACTATGACATACAACTATCTACTGGGGCTTCGGGAGAAAAAAAAAGGAGGAGGATTGGCAATAGAGGTTAGCTCAGAGCTGGTCTTCCTCAGCAAAAAGAGGAGGATTAGCACGGATGTTAGCTCAGGGCTGATCTTCCTCACACACACACACAAAAATTTAAAAAACACTTCAGGTGTGTGATTCCACAAGTACATGGCACAGTGGGTGGAACATGAGCTTGGAGTCCAACAGACTAGAAGCCTAATTCTGACTGCCATTTTCCAAATGCATCCTTTTAGACAAGTTATTCCCATTTTCTGCACCTTACATACTTCATTTGTAAAATGAGCATAACCTCACTCACCTAACAGGGTTATTCTGAAGGTTAAAAGGGTTCAGACCTCTCTCTGTAACTAGCACATAGCAGGTGCCCAATAATGCTAGCTGCCTCCCATCCATCTGTGGTGTAGATTCCTATACGTGATTATACCTCTTTTATTTCACATGAGAAGTCAGACAGGGACACCTCTCCTGGCCTTTGCACCAAAAGGGTCATCCATTTGATTCAGTCAACTCTTATCAACCATGACAAGCAAATAGGATCCATGTTTTAAATTTCTATCACTTTTGCTTCTATTTTAAAAAGATGGTACGCTGCTAGATTTCAACAAACAATCAGAGGCTGTAAGAACTAATGAGTGTTTTTCAATAGGTACATACCCCCCAGTCACTAGCTAATGACAAGGGGCAGGGAGCATGGACCTGAGCCTTCTGCAGAGGGGCCATCCGGCAGCAGAGCACAGCACTGCAGTTGCGGCAGATTTCAAGGAACACTTCTCTGTAGTTGCTGGAGCTTCCGTCTTCCTGGGGCTTCATTATTAAAGACAGCGCGGCTCCATCAATAATTAAACCATAGTCGTGCACATCTGCTGAAAGTCTGTTAGATCATATGAATCACAGAGATTACTCAATAACTACATCTACAGATTTCAGAAGACTATGTAATTTTTTTTGGATATCTACAGATGCTACAAATCCAGGACCAAGAGATTAGGAAACTAGTATTTCTTGTTTTATTAGTACAGTCTTTACAGTATTGGATGTAACACCTCTGACTACATTTTCAAGTTGTGTTTTCATTAAACATTCTTTCACAAAGGCAAAGCAAACATAGAGTTCTAACTGTGGATTCATGTGCAGTTTCCAGTAGTTCTGAATCACAGAAGGAGAGAATTCATCTTGCAGCCTAAAGAGGTCGGTCTTTATTCCTGAACTCCCTGGACATGCTCGCCAACCTCAGTCTTTATTTTTACAGCTAAATATCTCCTTGATATTCTGCCTGGATGACCTGAATAGGGGAGAACATGGTCCTAATATAGCTCTTTCCTGGGTTTCAAAATTACAAGGAACATTTGTAATCCCCAAAAGGAATTCTGTAGATCAGGTGAAGAGAAATATCTTTGTACTACTTATGAATAATTTAAAATTTGCACGATTAGAGAGCTGTTTTTGCTTTACCTATTAATGAAAATCTAAAATGAGTGAAATGAAATCTAATCTTAGATCAGGCATCTGACACCAGCAAGGGCAGCATTGATAAAACCTATCAGAATAAACAGCCAAATATTCCTGGAAAAACCAACTCTTGGGTGGATACTGTTTTGTCTTGAGAGATAAGCAACCATGCATTATTAGTATTTCCCTCCCTGCTCTGGCAGATGCTCCAAGGAATGCACAATACAGCCCCCTGCGTGTCTTAGAAGCAGATGAGAATGATCCCATTCACAATATTTTATGAATCAATCAAGTCTTTCTGTGTCCTTTAGCCAGCTGTCTGAAAGTGGGGACACACACACACACCCCTCTCCTATGCATACACTCTCCATGCAAAAAAGACATGTCACGGTTGCTAACAGAAACAGCTCTGGTCAGGTTCCCAGTGTTTACTGTAAACACACTGATGCTGTTAGGATGCTGGAGGAAGAACCGTGTGCCCAGAAAGGGTGCCGAGGCTATGACCCTGCAAATGGAGGTCACGTCAGTTGCTCTGAAAACATCTTCTGCGGTGGGGAAGGAGGGCGCCACCTACCCTGAGAAGTTGTCCCTGGTTAAGCCCCCGCTGCAGCGCAGGACCGTCTTACTCAGCTCGAACAGGACGTCGTGTAAGGTCTGCTCCTCGATCTTCTTGGTGGTGAGCTCGAGCAGCTGCGTGTTCCTCCTGAAGAGCTTGCACGCATAGCAGGTAGCGGCTGCCGTCTCCATCTTGTCCCCGGTGAGAACCCAGACTTTGATGCCGGCCTTCTGCAGCGCTTCTATGGTGTCGGCAGCCTTCTCCTGGAGCCTAAGGAGGCAAGATCAAACACAAGGAACACAAGTGCTGACAAAGCACACCAAAGTAGGAACTTCAGAAGCTTGTGATTAAAATATTTTAGCCCCTCAAAATTAAAGAGCTCTGTGCTGCTGGCTCATGATCTCACTGGAAGGTACCTGGGCCTGTGTTTAAAGTTACGTACTAACTTTTCACAACAAAGCACTTCCTAACGCCCAACAGATAAACGTGGATAAAACACTAAGAAGTAAGATGGCTTCTCATATAATTGACGTCTGCCAAGCATACAGTTTTCTGGCTGGCTGGGACTTGCTCCCTGGAGAGATTTTAGGCAATTATAAGAAGGAGAGTTATATAAGACCATCACAACAACAAAAGAGTCTCAACCAGAGAAAAATGGGATCTGGAATAGCTGTGGTCAGTAATATTCATCATCTTTTCTCTCTCTTTTTTTTTTTTGTGAGGAGGACTAGCCCTGAGCTAACATCTGACACCAATCCTCCCCTTTCTTCTTGAGGAAGATTAGCCCTGAGCTAACATCCGTGGCCATCTTCCTCTACTTTATATGGGACGCCGCCACAGCATGGCTTAACAAGCGGTGCGTTGGTGTGCACGCAGGATGTGAACCTGTAAACCCCAGGGCGCCGCAGCGGAGCATGTGCACTTAACCACTTGCGCCACCAGGCCGGCCCCCCATCACCTTTTCTTTTGGTATAAACTGTTCCAATTTTGCCACTGATCTAATTGGAGCCCAGGTACCACTAAACAATGTAGACTGAGAATGCCAGTAGTGATTCTAACGGGCTAACATGCACCATGGGCTCACCGTGTGTCAGATGCCACGTGAAGCATTTTAGGTACAACACTTCATTTTTACAACCACCTTCTGGCGTGAGGACGTTATCATCACCCATCCAACGTGTGGAAAACTCAAAGCTTGCAGAGGCTACAAAACGTGTCTGAGGATAAACGGCTCTCGACACTGGTCGGGATGTGTTGCTGCCCGTGGGAGTCGGGCATCAAAACCAGGTTTGCCTTATTTTGGGGGCCTGCCATTTTTTCCAGATTTCAGACTCTCAGTTTTTGATAGGCGTGTGAAGTTATGTATCATGTTTTGCCAAGTAATAAATGAACACAATGGATTCAGATTCTAACTGGAATGGTTTGGTGAGATTCTGGGATAAACTTCCTAGGTAAAGTCTCAAGATCACACAATCAAAATATTCTAGAAATAGAAAAAACCACCTCTAACTTCATCATTTTTTTGGAAAAAGAAAACTGACAGCCAGAGTAGTTTACAAAGATGCCGACTAGAGATTTTAAAGAAATAATTTGTTAGCGATTATCATCACTTCAAAGCCACTGGCTCCCCACACCGCCCCCCACCCTGGTATCTACTCTCAATTTTTCAAGGTCCCGACTCCCCATCGAGTCTGCTCCCACAACCCCTCGACAGGCCCTGTACATGGCTCCCTCCATCCCTAAGAGCCTTCCACTGCCCACCACTTCGAGGACCAGTCCCACCCCTTCCCCGGCCGACACCACCCTCTGAGCATCCTTCTCCTTCCTAACACACGGGGACCCCTTGGAAACCAAGCCCACTCTATGACTATAGCCTCATGCTCTAAAATCTGTCCTGTGGACAAATTATGCCACTTATGTTTATACCTGTCTTCCTATTCTGGACTGAATGAGGGGATAGACTAAAAAAAAAAATCAAAAAACCAAACAAACCAAAACTTCTTATGCTGCCCACTACTCTACTAAGACTGAGGACTCAGTGAATGCTTATTAAAGACACTGGAAAAATGAAGGTTTTAAGATAAGGATTTAAGTTTTGGGCCAATATAGACCTTAAAAACTTTTAAACTTTACGGGAAATAAACTCTCAGTAAATTTCCTGAAGTTTCTGTTTCATTCTGTTAAATTAGGGTATTTTTTTCTTTTCCATTCCTTCAAAATAAACTGCAATCCATTCCTTTCACTCTGCCCTCAGGACAACACCGTGGACAGATGATCATGTCTTAGTGCACTGACTGAGCCTTAAATAACTTTCAGTCCTTGCCGCAGAACTGTGACAGATCAGGAGCTCTCTCTTTGGAGGTATTTGAAAATCCGTACTTGGTAATTTTACCAGTTGTTATTTTTAGTTTTTGCAATTTTCTACTTCATTATTTTAAATTTCTTCAGTGTGTAACGACAGGTACATTGAGTGTGTTAAGGTCTAAAATGTTACACTTGTATTTGGAAAGAACTAGTGACAAACTTAGGAACAGAATTAGTTATGGATTCCATTCTAAAGAATAATTAAAAAAAAACCCTATATCTTGACTACTGATAACAGGATGTGAAAATGCTGACTGTTTCTGGTTTCTCCTGGGAAAGTGGGAACGCCAGACCTCTTATGCATGGAAAGCAGAGCATCACCCAATCGCCACCTCCCTGGGGGACCACTCCACGGATGCAGCCAGACAGCCTGTCTCCTCCTGACGTGCAAGCACATCCACACCTGGGGGGCTGACACGTTCCCCCCGAGGCACCCCCCTCCGGCCCTGCGGTCACATCGCATCGTCTGTTCTGACGACAAGGCACAGCGGTGACGTTACCGATCCTCAACGGCAGTAGCACCAAGCAGAATAAGGTCTTTCTCGATCTGCTCGTAGGCTTCGGCTAACTTCTTCTCTCGGTCCTGAAGGGCCATTTTGGCGGCCTGCAGCAGTTTACGGACGCCTTCGTACTCCTCCTGGATCAGCCTCTTGTAGGCAACACACAGAGTCCGGAGCCCCTCCTGTGGGACACAGTGCAGCATTTAACGTGAATTCCAGCGTCACTTGGTTGAAATATTGTCAATAGTTTTCTCAGTTATCTCCTCTCTCTAATTAGAATGACTAATCAGAGAATTATAAACCAACCAACCCCCAAAGGAGCTGGTCATTTACAACTAAATTATTCAAGTTCACGTTAAATACAGATAATCGTTATGGATTACAAAGTTTTCAAGCTAGTAAACACGGGAACAAATAATACACATCTGGGCCATCAAAACTTAAGACTTTGTTCCTTTATTTAGACAAGTGAAGAGTTAAACTTTTTTTAGGATAATAATATCAAGTGATATTTCCGAGGTAACATGTTTTTCATAGGGAGTTTGACCTTACTTAGCACTCACTGAAGGAAACGTGCCAGATTATCTACCAAAACTACCAGGCTCAGGAGAGGGACGTGAGAATCTAAGAACGACAGATTCTTTACTGTGATGGCAGCTCTGATGTCACCGGACACGGAGAATGCCCCCTAGCCAGCGAGGCCCAGGGAAGCCGGACTCTCAGAGCCTGGAGGGGACGCACTCGGAGGACTTCATCAGTCACTCAAGGCTCCTTCCCATCATCTGGCCAGAACCACTACAAAGGTTTAGCTGACACCCAGGCAGGCTGCCCTTCTGTTTCCCCGTTCCCTCAGCCCCGACTGATCCTGGGAAAAGAGCCACGATCCCCTATACGATCAGTCCAGATTCTGCGAGAGTACTGGTCTTCAGGCTTTGTATAAAGCTCTTCCATTGTATGAGTTCAGACTTCCCATGACTCTCAGGGAACAGTCCCCATGTCCCCACATTTAGCTGAAGGACACAATCGCTGTGGGATTAACAGCTCCTACTGCCCCCGCAGCTCTTCAGAGCCTGAAGGGAAAAAAGGAGATGGAGCAGTAGGAACAAAAAGAAGCATTCTGTGTGTCTGGAGTCCTCCTCTCCAGCAACATTCTGGAACTCCTTTATGCCCATCCTCCAGACGCTGTCCTAGTCAAAGGGGAGCAAGCAAGAAACTCACGCCTCTCTCTCCAAGAAAGGCACGGTCCTCGCCAGCAACGACCTGTGGAAGCTTACAGAGATGCGCTCCCCCGCGCCCTCCCCAGGAGCTCCTCCTAGCTTATGACGCTACATGGGGTGCTAACACCGCGTCTGACTTCACCAAACCCCTGGCACTGACTTTTGCTGAATAAGGAAGCTGCTGACATTCGATGGGAAGCACATCCAGTGATCGAGTTATAGATTAGAGACACAGACATGAACTGCAGAACAACTTCTCAGACTCTCCCTAAGGAATCATAAAACACATAGCGTATATGATTTCATTCCCATGCCAGAAAAACTGCACAAGAAAAAAGTTTTACTGGGATAACAGTTCAGAGTCGCCGCAACACTCAGAGTCGGTGCGAACGGTAAGCAGAAGCTTTCAGAGATAAACAGAACCTTGTCTTAAAAAGCAGACAAGGGGCTTCCCCTCGTGGGAATGGGAGTAGAGATACCTTCCCCACTCCTCCTGCCGGGTGCTACTGAAACCCTGGACACCGAGATAAGACAACACTGACACACAAACACAGCCAGACAAAGGCACTACAGGAAAAGGAAACCACAGAACAATATCCCTAACGAATACAGATGCAAAAATTCTCAACAAAATAATAGCAAACTGAATCCAACAGCATATCCAAAGGATTATTCACCACGACCAAGCGGGATTTATCCCAGGAACACAAGGGTGCTTCAACATACGAAATCAATCAATGTAATACATGACATTAATAGAATGAGGAAGGGCCAGCCCCGGTGGCCTAGTGGTTAAGTTTGGCACACTCCACTTTGGCAGTCCAGGTTTGGTCCCTGGGCATGGACCTACACCACTGTGTTAGCAGCCATGCTGTGCTGGCAGCCCACATACTAAAAAATAGAGGAAGACTGGCATGGATGATAGCTCAGAAAAAAGCTTCCTCAAGCAAAAAGAGGAAGGTTGGCAACAGATGTTAGCTCAGGGACAATCTTCCTCAGCAAAAAAAAAAAAAAAAAAAAGAATAAGGAAAAAACCCACATGATGATCTCCATTGATGCAGAAAACGCATCCGACAAAATCTAACAGCTTTTCATGATAAAACCACTCAATAAACTAGGAATAGAAGGGAACCTCCTCAACGTGATAAAAGCCATCTATGACAAGCCCACAGCTAGCATCACACTGAGTGTTGGTTCTTTCTCCCTGTGATAAGGAACAAGACAAGGGTGCCTGCTTTTGCCATTTCTATTCTACATAGTACTAGAATTACTAACCAGAGCAATTAGGCAAGGAGAAAAAGGCATCTAAACAGGAAAGGAAGAAGTAAGGTTATCTCTGTTCACAGATGATGTGATCTTATATGCAGAAAACCCTAAAGATTCCACATAGAAATTGTCAGAACTAATAGACGGATTCAGCAAAGGTGCAGGAGGCAAAGTTAACACATAAAAACCAGGTGCGTTTCTATACACTAACTAGAAACAATCCGAAAAGGAAATTAACAGAACAATTCGATTTACCATAACATCAAAAAGAATAAAATACCTAGGAATAAATTAAACCAAGGAGGTGAAAGACTCATAGACTGAAAACTACTATATGATGCTTAAAGAAATTATAGAAGACCTAAGTAAATAGAAAGCCATCGTGTGTTCGTGGATTGGGAGGTTTATTGTTCCTAAGATGATAACAATACCCAAAGCAATATACAGGTTGAAGGCAACTCCTATCAGAATCCCAATGGTGTTTTTGCAGGAATGGAAAAACCCATCCTAAAACTCACATGGGATCTCAAGGGATTCAGAATAGCCAACAATCTTGTAAAACAAGAACAAAGCTGGAGGACTCACACTTCCTGATTTCAAAACCTACTGGAAAGGGACAGTAATTAAAACAACGTGGGACTGGCATGAAGGCAGATCACACAGAACAATGGAAATGAACCTCACATATATGGTCAAACGATTTTTGACAAGGACGTCAAGACCACTCAATGGGGAAAGAATCATCTATTCAACAAATGGTCCTGGGACAGCTTCCTGTAAAAGAATGAAGCTGGATGCTTAGCTCACACCACATACAAAAATTAACTCAAAATGGACCAGAGGCCTAAATCTAAGAGCTAACACTATAAAACCCTCAGAAAAAAACATAGGGGCAAATCTTCATGACCTTGGATTTGACAACAGTTTATTAAAGATGACACTAAAAGCACAAAAGAAAAAATACATAAATTGGACCTGATTAAAATTAAAAACTTTTGTGCATCAAAGGATACTATCAAGAGAGTAAAAAGACAACCCACAGAATGGGAGAAAATATTTGCAAATCATGTATCTGATAAGGTGTTAGTGTTCAGAATATATAATGAGCTCCTACAATTCAACGAGAAAAAAAAATTGATTAAAAAATGGGCAAACAACTTGAATAAGCATTTCTGCAAAGAAGATATACAAATGGTCAATAAGCACATGAAAAGATGCTCAACATCTTTAGTCCTTAGGGACATGCAAATCAAAACCATAATGAGATACCACTTCACACCCACTAAGATCGCTATAATAAAAAATAATGCGAAATAACACGTGTTGGTGAGGATATGGAGAAACTGAAACCCTCATGCATTGCTGGTGGGAATGTAAAATGGTGCAGCCACTGTGGGAAACAGTCTGGCCTTTCCCTAAAAAGCTAAACATATTAGAGTTACCACATGACCCAGCAATTCCACTCCCAGGTACATAACCAAAGGAACTGAAAAGAGGGACTCAGACAGACACAGGCACACCTATGTTCACAGCAGCATTATGCCCAGCAGCCATAAGGTGGAGACAACCCAGTGCCTTCGACAGGTGATGGATAAACAAAGTGTGGCACATGCCGTATACTCACACATGGAACATTATTCAGCCATAAGACAGAATGAAGTTCTGAGACCTGCTACGACATGGATGACCCTTGAGGACATCATGCTGAGTGAAGTAAGGCAGTCACAAAAGGACAAATATTATACGATTCCACGTAAATGAAATAGCTAGACTAGGCAAATTCACAGGGACAGCAGGTAGATTAGAGGTTACCAGGGGCTGGGGGAGGATGGAATGGGCAGGTTTTACTTAATGGGCACAGTTTCTGTTTGGAAGGATAAAAAATTTGGAATCAGACAACGGTGTTGGTGGCACAGCATCATGAATGTAATTAATGTCACCAAATTAAACACTTACAAATGGTTAAAGAGCAAATTTTATGTTATATATATTTTACCACAATAACAAGTGGATCATAGATTTAAATGTGAAACATAAAACTATACAACTTTTAGAAGAAAACGTAGGAGACAACACTCGGCCCCTGGGGGTGGTGAAGAGTTCTTAAACATGACATCAAAAGCAGGTGCAAAAAGAAAAATCGATGAAATGTGTGTCATCCAAACTAAAAACTTTTGCTCTGTGAAATACCCTTTAAGGGGATGAAAACAGAAGCTACAACTGGGAGAAAATATTTGCAAATCACAAATACGAAAAAAGATTCATAAGAACTCTCAAAATTCAACCTAAAAACAAAACAAGGGGCTGGCCCGGTGGCATAGTGGTTAAGTTCGCGCGCTCCACTTCGGTGGCCCGGGGTTCGCAGGTTCGGATCCTGGGCGAGGACATACGCACTGCTCAACAAGCCATGTGTGGTGGCATCCCACATACAAAATAGAGAAAGACTGGCACAGATGTTACCTCAGGGCTAATCTCCTCAGCAAAAAGAGGAGGATTGGCAAGGGATGTTAGTTCAGAGCCAGTCTTCCTCACACACACACACAAAAAACGAAAAAAATCCGCAAACAATCCAATTAGAAGATGGGCAAAGGACACAGAGACATCTCCACCGACAGGACACCCAGGTGGCAGATAAGCCCACGAACACTAGCTGGACATGGGGAGCTGTTAGGGAGGCGCGAAGTGAGGCTGCGGCAAGG